TTTCTCTTCAGAGGATCTTGGCATAGAGAAAATTGAAGCCATCTGTCAAGAGCTTCCTTTTTCTTTCCCCTTCTTCACTCCAAATCCCCTCAACATTTTTACTTTTTCCTCCTTTGGTCTAGTTCCCAGTGAAAGAAGTGTTTCTTATTCTTGACCAAGCTCAACCCCTTTGCCTCCTATAAACTTACCCCTTCATTCATCCTTCTTTCTACTGCCCTCTTTATAATCTTTAGTCTCTCCCTCTCTCCCTTCTTTCAGCTTCTTTTCCATTGCCTTCAAACATCTGGGGATCTTCCATATCCTAAAAAAAAAAAAAAAAAGACTTTACCTTGATACTACTGTCTTCTTAAACTTTTATCCTATATTTCCTGTCATTGCCAAACTCCTGGAAAAAGATATTTACATTCCTTGCCTCCACTTTGTAACCTTTATTTCACTTCTCCTTGTATACTGGCTTCCGCCTCCACCACTCGACTAAAACTGCTAAATTATTAGTGATCACTAAACTGCTAAATCCAAAAGCCTTTTCTCAGTTCTCACCCCTCTTGACCTTTCTGTAGATTTTTGCACGGTTGGCAATTTCCTCTATCTTCACACTCTTTTTTTCCCCTTGGGTTTTTCTGACACTGCACTCTTTATTTTCCTACCTGTATAATTATTTCTTCTTAATTTCTTTGGCTGAATCATCATCCGTGTCCCACTCCACTTTGTGTGGGCATGTGCCCCAGGACCTTCTTCCCTTTTCTCCCTATCACCTTTTTGGTGATCTCAACAGCTGTGTTTAGTTGTCCGTGCAGATGACTTGCAAGCTTGCATACACAGCCTTCATCTCTTGATGCTTCTTGAGCTTCCAGTCCCATATCTCTAAATGTTTGCCGCTCATCCCCACAGGAATGTCACATGGGGAGTCTCCAATTCAACGTATCCAAAGCAGCTCATTATCTTGTGTCCAAAAACCTTTCTTAACTTCCCTTTTTCTGTAGAGGACATCACTGTCTTTTCAGTCACTCTGGTTCACAACCCAGTTCACAACCCACAACTCCCACATTTGATTCTTTATTTGCTTAACTATCTCCCCATATTCAGTAATTTGCCAAATTTTGTCAATTCTGTCACTACAACATCTCTACATATTTCTTTAATGATAACGCATTGCAACCTACTCCACCTCCACATGGATACTAATGTTCCTAATGCACGGTTTTGACCATGCCATTCCTTTGCCAGAACCAGGTAGATTCAGCATCTTTCCCATTGTCTCTTGGATAAAATATAACCTTCTTATTCTTGCATTTATAAATACTCAGGCTCCTACATACCCTTCTAGCCTCATCTCGTATTATTCTCTTTCACATGTGTTTCACTCAGACTGTTAAGACAATACTAAATCTTCTCTGACTTTGTCGGTTCCATCCTTTTTCTTCACTTATTCCCATTCCTGTACTCCTTTGGCTACTTGTGTGTTTGGCAAGTCTGTCAAATGATTACTGATTAAGATGCTTTTTTAGATAGTTTGGGGTAGGTTGTTTCAATTGTTTGAAACACTATTCCTTTCTCTCATTATTCCATTTAAAAAAAAAAAACTAATTCCAATCTTTGCTCTGACAGATGGTTGTCTGACTGTACACAGGCAACTTATTCAAGGATAACCCTCACATCAATAACACATCTTTTCTTATCTGTTAAAGTCCTGTATTTGATTTCTGTGGTGTTATTTGATGCTTACCAATAGTTGGCCCACCATTTTTTTTCTCTTGAAGCATGTAATATAACCAGATTGTATAAGGGACATTTACCTAGTACTTGTAGACCTACATTTCATTCATGTGTCAAGTAAATTCCATTAGTGTAGAGTTCAATAAAAGTCTCCCACATTAAATCATTGTCATTTGAAAAAATCTGACAATTATATTGAACATTTTTCTTGATGTGGTTTTGCCATTTATAGATTTGAAAGCAAATCTTAAAATTAATTTTTAACATCATATACAAAAAATCAAATGGGCATCTGTTGCTTCATCTACTGGCAATGAAACAGGAAAGTTTTAGTTTCTTAATAAATTTATTGTAAAAGTCATCAGACATGAGTAATTTTCCTCTCTGTTGTGTTGTCTGTAAATGGAACTATTTGAAACTGTTTTACATCAGTCAGCAAACATCATTCCCACTATATCTATCAATACGTTTTGGTAGAACCAACATTTCTCTTGTAGAATGAAGTTTTTTTTTTTTTAAACTTAGCAATTCCCAAAGCAACATCATATGATGCAAGCAATTTTTGTGATATCACAAACAAGGTTTTTGAAAAAGTTAATTTTCTTATTGAAAGCACATATAATTTTCTCTGGAAAAATTCTCATGTTGCTAACATTCTGCATGTATATTTTCAAGGTGTTGTTGCAATATATTAGGTTTTATACTACCTGTAGCTATTCACACAAAGCAAACACAGTGGTCTTTCAGTGGTCTCTTTCTTCAGTAATAATACTTGTGAACTCCAGTGATAGTTTACCTATCCTGGATTGTAGTTTATGGATTTGGACTTTCCTTTCTGTATTTTATGCTATTTAAATTTTTGCTTATTATAGCTTAAGCTGTTCCAGTGGATTTTTTCCTTCAAATTAATTATTTCTTCAAATCCGTTATAAAGGGACATTGTTTTACTATTAAAAAGTAAAGACAAACTTTTAAGGAAATTAAATTTAAATTGAATTGTTGAATTTACCTACAATTATTCTTGAGTTATTTCAACATTTTACAAGTTACAATTTGGGAGGAAGCCAGTTTATTATATTTTTTAATTAATATAAATGGTACTGAGAGTCATGACAGATGTTATGGTGCTTCTAACATATATACACAAAGATTGTTTGACTTTGAGAATATGTATCCAGCACTTCAGTGCAACAGCAGCACAATGTCATTACTCTTCTGTGTGAGCTTATGTGGATTGATAATGACGGTGGCAAGTCACTCCTATACTGAGATTTAACATGTTCTAACTCAAATTTGACCTCTTTTATATATATCATATTAAATGTGATATTTAAACTTTACACCTTTGTGATCTGTATCATTGGAGAAAGTACTCACATTAATATGATCACAGATCTATTGAAATATCAAAGGTATTGTTAATGGAATTTGTTTGCTAAGCTTATCTAGAAAAAAAAAGAAAGAAACTTATCAGTGAGGATTCTCTGGCAATAAATAGTACATCTTGGCTGATTGCCAGTTGTCCATTCTGTCACTGTCTCTGTTTCCATCTACTCATCTTTTCCTCACATATTCTCTTATACACAGATTTGTTTGATAATGGGCAATTATCAAACAGGACTAAAATATACACTGACTAATTTGGAAATTTTAAGTAAAAAGCAAATATTCATATCAAGCAGATAACTTCTTTGCTTAAGGTAATTTAGATCCAGGGTGTATTTTATTATTCCAGGAATCCTGTTGAACTGTTTCTGAAATTTGGAGTACGTCGAGATCCCTAGTACTTTAGATTAACAATAACAGAGGTGGCAGGATATAGATATATACATGACTATATATCTACAGTCTGAGGACCCAAGGAACTTTTAAAAAAAATCCTAGGAATAGAAAAACCCAAGCTGGTCAAGCGGCTGGGGGCAGGGGGCAAGGGGTATATGGGGGGGGGGGGGAGTGGCAGGAGGAACATTGAAATTATGCCTTTCCAGGATTCTGAAGTCTGTAATTCATGACTTTGAAGCCTTTAACCCAAAAGGACTCAGCTAATTAGCCATGAAGTTGCAGTGGCTTCCAGTTACAACAGAGAAAAAGAGATTCTAGGCCAGCTCGTCAAGGGAAAGACTTCTGGCCTCCAAATTTCCAGGAGGGTAGGGTGGGGAAGCATCTTACCTATTATGTTACCATCACCTGATTTCTTCAGCTTCAGGCCTGGGCCCTTTACACCCTATCCAAGTTTGTTACTCTACTTCTTGTAGTGTCACTGAAATAAGGGGTGGTTAATAGTGAAGAAGGAGATACTTCTTCAAGCTCTCCAACCAGCTTGGATATAATGGAATTGTTGAGAGGGAGAGGTCAAATGAGAGAAAGAAGAAAGGAATTTACTTTAGCCTCTTTTCCTTAGAGTCTTTTTATCATTGTAATTCTGATTGCATGACTTATCTTTACTCCCTCCTCCATCCTTCATACAGTAGTACTCCCTTCAGCCAGGCTTAAGACTAAACAAGATCAGTAAAGTTACTGTCTTGATAGAAGCCATTCTTACTATCCAATTGACTTGGCAGCTTTATTATGACTTTAATCTAAAACTGTGGGTACAAGGGGCAGCTAGGTGGTGCAATGGATAGGACACCGGCCCTGAAGTCAGGAGGACCTGAGTTCAAATCCAGCCTCAGACCAAACACTTGATACTTACTAGCTGTGTGACCCTGGGCAAGTCACTTAACCCCAATTGCCTAAAAAAACAAAACAAAACAAAAAAAACAAAACAAAAAAAAAACTGTGGGTACCCAATTAAATAATTGGAGTTTGACAAGATGTTAACTCATATGGTAGAATGAAGTCTAAAGACCTGAGTTGAAGTCCTGGCCCTAACTATTCCATCATGAGGTCATGAGCAAGCCTAAATACTAGGGTCAGGTGTTAGCATCATCTAATTTTGTAGGCCTCAGTTTCTTTACTATGTAAAATGAAGGGTTTTAATTGGATGACCTTGATGTTCTCTTCTAATTCTAAAATCAATAATCCTGTAATGATGTGAAATGTGGCTAATAATGCTGATAATACTTAACTCAGGACTGTTATGGGGAAAGTCACCAGGTACTTAGCAAGATAGTTGTCAAGAGACTATAGAATATATTTTACTGAAATAAAATACACAGTTGGGATAGTTTCTGACAATGGTTCTTGAAGGTAAATGTGTATTTCAGATAAACAGTTTTGGGAAATGATGCTATCAGTTTATAACTGTGATAACAGTCTTGTTATGTGCCAACACTTTTGTTAAGGGTGGTACTGTTTCTGAAAAGAAAAAGAAACTCTCTAAAATTGAGCGACTGAAACAGCAACAAGAGGAGGAAGAAAAAAGAATGCAGGAGGAAGGTACAGCTCACAGAATTAATATTGTTGTAATGCAGCTGATAGATCTTGGATTCCTAGGAGCTGAACAAAGTGTTTATTGTTTAACTTTATGGCAGCATATATGACAAATACTTAAATGACACATCAGTCAGTAAATTAATATTTATGAAGCACCTGCTATGTACTCAGGCACTGTGCTAGGTACTAGAGATATAAAGACAATTATGATATAGGCCTTGTCCTCTTGTAGTTTATATCCTGTGGGAAGAGACAGCACATAATTGAAATAGCAAAAATGCAATTTAAAAATTAAATTAAATGTTAGCCAGAATTAATTATGATGTTGTTTTAAACCTAAAGGTAATTTTCTAGTTATACATAGTTTTCTAACCTAAAGAGGTTCTGGTACTTTAAAATTTTTTGCTGAGTCTTTAGTAAAAACTTGGATTATTTTGAAAATGCTGTGAGCCTCCAGAACTTAAAATATTTGTGGTGAATTTAAATATTTTTAAAAATAGTGACTATTGATAAGTGACTTTTTTAAAAAAGTAGCTATTCAGAGGAATCCAGTTATTGGAATATGGGCTATATATAAAGTCATAAACTCAGAATTATGATCTAAATTCCTGTGTTGCCTTTTTTGCGTAATCTGGCATAAACTCATTTATGTTTTCATTAAAAATGGGGAAATAGTGTCATGTCTGTCTGCTTATTAGAAAATTGAATGTAAGAAGTGTCATATTGAAACAAACTCATAATCCTACCAACTCAACATTTTTGTCTGATAGCTATAGCAAGGAAAGAGATTAGAGATCTACATTGGAGATTCTACTTTCCCTTTAACAGTATATTATGACTCTAGCAATCATCTGTTAATTTAAGCCCTTCCTGAACATATTTATATTTTCTCCCTATACAGTAGGGTAAGAATGCTTTATTTTTATTGTCTTTTTACTAGGATATTTCGTTTGTCCTAAATTACCTCTTCAGCCTTTGTATTCATATTACTCATGTTATGGTGTTATAGATCATATTCCATCCCAGTCTTCATTTTTTCAAGACTGAAGAGTCCTACACTTTTTAGTAGTCCATTTTTATAGTAAAGCAAATTTCATTCCCTCCCATTTCAGCTGCATTTCTCCCCAAAGTGATTTTCTTTTTCTTTCCTTCTCCCTCTTTCCTGTCTCCCCTTTCACTCCCTTACCCACCCCCAACAAACACACCGTGTGTCTGGTAGAAGGGTTGTAACTTTTATGAACCTAGAAACAGAGGATTGTTAAGAATAGCAGGGTTTATTTATGCCCTTTAGTAAAGGTTGAGATTGTCCTCTAAAATACCCCCAAGACTCTATAAATAAAAAACTGTTGAGATAATTGTAAGTATTCTTTAAAATCAAATAGTGACTACATTACTGATAAATGCTTAATTTTTTCTTCAGAGGAAGCCCGTTTGAAAGCTGAACAGGAAGCAGCAGAGAGATTTGAAAGACAACAAATTGAAAAGCGTAAGTGGGAAGCGTTAGTAGAAAAGGTTAGTCCACAACTTTTATTAGGAATTTAAGGAATATTATAGAAGAATACTAGAATCATAAAATTTAGTAGTTGGAGGAAGTTCACAAGTCACCTAGTCTAGCCTTATACACTATAAGGGCACCATTATATGCAAAAATACCATACTTACTGTTTTACCTACTGAATTCTCCTGGAAGATGTCAGATCTATGAGAGAAGGTACCTTTCATTTTTGTCTTTATGTCATGAGTGAGGCGCAATGAGGCACAATGCCTCGAATAAAGTAGGTACTCAAGTTTATTTAAATTAAGTTTTGTGGAATAAGTGGAAAGAGCTCTGGCTGTTTAGGCAGAGGACCTGCCTGGGTTCGAATCCTACTACTATTGCTTACTCAGTTCATAACTTAGGGCAAAGCACTTAACTTCCCCAGGCCTCAATTTCCTCTACTATTGAATAAGGTAAGTTGTACTAGATGACATATGGGGGCCGTTCAGCTTCTTATAATATGACACTTTGAATTAATTGATTTGAAATGAGTCACTGTCAGTGGGTCACTATTTCTCTGCTTGAACATTTGTGGGGTCAAACTCACAAGACAACCAATTCCATTTTTAAGAGTTTGAATGGTTTGAAATTTCCTCCTTATACTGAGCAAAAATCTTCCAAATTCCTCTCTGTAATTTCTGCCTATTGGTTTTATTTCTAATTCTTGGAGCTGTAGAGAGTATATCTAACCTCTCTTCCCTTGATAGCCTTTTCAGATATTTGAAGATAACCATCATGTTCTTCAGTCTAAATAACTCTAGCCTTTAGGTTCCACAAACCTAATCCTTCATTGATCACTATTCTGGTGATCCTTCCCTAGAGTTATGCCAGTTAGTCAATATCCCACTTAAAGTCTGATGCTGGAAACAGAGCGTAGTGCTCTAAATGTGATATAACCAACATGTAATATAAATATACCATTACTTCCTTATTCTGGATACTTCTGTAAATGCAGCCTAATTTTTCATTATTTTTTAATCACAGTAGACTCATATTGAGTTTGTGGTCTACTAAATCTTCTAAATATGTTTTCCACATTATTTGTTGTTAAACCATGTCTTGTTTTGTGTCTGTGCAATTACTTTTTAAACCTAAGCATTAGTAGTTTGTATTAATCTCTATTAAATTTTTTGATTTGAATATTTACCTTGTGATTCTGGCATTCAGTATAGTAGCAATCCCTCCCTACAAATTTGAAGTGTGTCTTCTATGTTTTTATGCAAAACACTTATGGAAATGTTGAACAGAACAGAACTGGAGGATAGAACCTTGTGGCATATCACTAGAGACCTTCAATTAGGTTGACAATGATCCATTAATCAATGTAGCTTCTTCTAGTTAGAGACTATTATATTTAAGCTTTTTATATCTTTATATCTTTTAATGACTTTTAGCACTTAGTGCAGTACTTTGCAGTAGGTACTTAATACATGTTTTGTGTTTGTGGTTGCTGTGAATCTACACATTATTATCTGGACCTTCTTTATTTTGTCCCAAAGAATATCATAAAACTCAAATATTTTGATACAATATACATATGCTATGTAGATAGCATTCCTCTGATCTAATTGCTGTAGAAACTTTGTATTAAAGAAGAAATGAGATTAGTTTGGCATAATTTGTTTCATAGTAAAACCATGCTGTTTCCTAGTGATCATCATTTCCATTTCTAAGTTCTCAGTAGCCTTCTGTTTTGTAATTTGGTTGAGAATTGATAGTATTACTGGAAAAGCTGAACCATGATATCAAGTTCACCAATTTATAAGTTCTGGGATGTACCTTTTCCCATGTTTTCAAAGTCTGGAGAAAATTGCCTCTCTAATCTTTTAGAACCATCCCCATTCTCTGTTATTTTATAAGGATTGCTAACAGTGGTCACATCTGCAATCACATCTATGAATTCTTTAGTACCCTGGGAGCAGATCATGATGATGACACAATTATGGGTAATGATGAGATTTAAGTTGTGACCACTCCTGTGGGTACATTAGGTAAAGTAAAGATGTAGGTCAGAGGAGGTGAGTTTACTGAACTGGGTGGCCAGGGTATTTGAGGAGATATCAACATACATATTTAATTCCTCAAATAAGAAGTAAGAGATTGGAGTGGAGAAAGAGACTAGGGTCCTTAAAAATAGGGGCCTCTCAGCCTCATTTTCTTTTGTGGAGGATGGGTAGGTTCTAACTTCTGAAAACACGAACAATTGAAATTCCTACCCACAGTACACCAAGGGACAGAAAGACCATACTAGGTAAAGAACTTATATTGAGAACAGAACTGACATACTTTAACATATTCCTTAATGTGGATGACTACAAGAAAGATACTTGGCTTTGACGAATAGTATGAGTGCTCTATTTTGGGGGAAGTTGGAGTACTTGATGACTTAGAAAGCAAAAAGAAAGAAGGGGAATTATTATTGATTTTCCCTGGCTGTGGCTTCTTCCGTGAATGATGGTTTCATAAAGTTTTTTTTTTTTCCTTTTGCTTCTAACAGGTAATTCCTTATTATATCAAATATTTGAAATCAGAAAATACCGTATAAATTACAGGACAACCTTCAATGTGAAATTTCCCAAATATTTTATGAAGAGGCCATGGCTTCCTATAGGAAAAGGATAGTGAACCAGCCATGGAATGTACTAGAAGTACAGAGAGTAATTTAGATTGGATAATAAAATGGATTACGGAGTGGATTAAAGACAGCAATTGAATTATAAGGGAAAGCATGGACTTTCCACATGATGTTTAGGGATATTCATAATATTTTCTTTTCCATGCAATAGAAATCAAAGAGCAGAGAATTTTATCAGCAAAGATTGTGTTGTCAAAGTTACAGGTAGACAAAACATAGGGTTGAATTACAACTGGATTTTTTTTATGAGAAAAGTGAAAACTCCTAACTGCAATAAATAAGGTATTAAGGATTTTTTTTTTGAGTTTAATAAATACTCAGCATTATCTTTTACTTTGGTCAACTGCTAAAGAATGAGTAAATCTGACAAAATTTGTGGAAATCTTTAAAACTTGATATAATGCAGGTGAAAAATAAGGCAAATACCAATTGCTTACCTCTTATAAATAAAAGGAAGATTAAAGATAAGGCTGCAAACATAAAACAATGGAAGTGGAATGATGTGGAGATTGGTATAGTATAGCAACAAGGAACTAGATGGAGTGATATGGGTAGATGGATCGAACCTCAAAAGAAGGAGCAGTTACAATGCAGATCTGACATAATTAATTAATTAATAAATCTCAAGAGCTCCCTATTCCCTTTTAGATAAAGTATAAATTCCTAGCTTTTATAACCCTCTACAACCTGGCCCCTGCATATCTTTTTAACCTCTTTGTAAGTGAGGCTCTGCACTTCTCCCAGTTCACATACACATGTTCTAGCAGGCCAGGTTCTTAGAATGAAGATTGGCTAAAAATCTCCCTCAGGGTTCTGGTTCTAAGGGGCTATGGCTTGTTGCTGTTCTTTTTTTTAATGAAGTTTTTTTATAGTGCTGTAATCTCATATTTCCATTCTGGTATGTTCTCCCCAGTATTAATCACCAGTGATTAGTATTCCAGGTTCATTTAACAAATTAATATCAATTATCTGTTACAAAGGGATATTTACCGAGATTATGTAAGTAGAACAAAAGCATAAACCTTACTTTATGCTCTTAACACCCAGGAACACACTCTCTTATTCTGCCTCATTTCCTGGGGAGAGTAGGCTCAACCTTTAAGCGGTTTCTACAAAGCGTTGATCCCCCAAGATTTACTTCCAAATGCAGCATAGCCTGTGTGCAGAACTACTGTCTTATTTGTAAGACCTGGAATCTTGACTTTGGAGTAAGTCATTTGCTGGACTGGGTCCTTGTTGTTCCACCAGGATCAGCTGGCTATAAATTCTGGTGTGGACTGTTGCTCCTTGACCACCGGAGGCTCTCCAGACCTTTTGAAACTCATAAGGTCACAGCTTAGTCTCTTCCATTTCCAATGCCAAAGCATGAAAGAATAGACACAATAGAGACAGAAACAACCATTGTACTGTGTGTTCAGGAGTTCACCTGTTGGCCCAGGTGGAGAGAGTAGAACACCAGTGACAGCTTTGTCTCCCCACCCAGAGGCTTACAGCAGTCCTTGCCTCCTTACTTGAATGTAGCCAGAGATGGGCACAGAGAGACTAGCCTTGGGCCAGTTAGTCCCTTTTCAAAGTCAAGTCAACAAATCTTTTTTCACTTACTTTATTCTTTTTCATGGTTCCCTCCTACCCTCTGTTAATCTGTTTCTTCTCTCACAAATGTGACTAATATGGAAATATGTTTTATGTGGTAGCACATGAATAACCTATATCAAATTGCCTACCATTTTCAGAAGAAGGGAGGGGAAGGGAGAGAGGGAGAAAAATTTGTAACTCAAAATCTTGTAAAAATGAATGCTAAAAATTGTCTTGCCATGTAATTGGGAAAAAATAAAATACAATTTTTTTAAGAAAAGACATAGCTTAAGTACCCCCTTCTACATCAAGCCTTTGCTGATCTCCACAACTTGTAGCCCCCTCCCTCCCAAACTCTCCTTTTTAACTACCTTGTATTTGATTCTCTTTACATTTATTCTGTATATATTTATGTATGTACTCCATTTCCCCCGTTAAAATGTAACTTCCTTACAAATACAGATGGCTTCATTCTTTTTATTTTAATCCCCACCTTGCCTCGGAGGTAGTTAGTCCTAATTAGCTGCATTTTGATTAATTGATTGATACATGATCTGATGGGAACTGATGAAGGGAATGTCAAAGGAGGAGAAGTTACAAAGTATAGTGGTTACTCCTGGGGCCATCATTGTTTCCCTCCATCTGCTTGCCCTGGTGGGTTCTCCACAGAACATAAGATATTTCTGGAGCCTTTTAAAGAGCTCTAGATCCTTTATCTCTGCAGAGACTTCCACCTGGGTATAGCTCTTTCAAAGTCTCCTTCTTTTTCTCTTCTATAATGTTTTGCCTGTCAACTTCTCTCCATGTCAGATTTTATTTTCTGCCTCTTTGGAGTAGTTTTTCTTCTTAGCTTCCTTTGTGAACTATTTTTCATCCATTCCCTCCCCTCCCAAGAATTCTTCATCATCTGTAATAAACCAGAGCATGTAGAAGCACTCCTCACATCCTTTCTTTTTCTGTCAAGTCTGCTTCCCTCTTTTTCACCCCTGATGTTGCTACCATTCTGCTTCTAGACTTAATTACCCCTAGCTTTTGGTGTTCAGTCATTTTCAACTCTTCATGACCCCAAAGATACTGGAGTAGTTTGCCATTTCCTTCTCCAGATCATTTTACAAATTAGCAAACTGAGGCAAATACAGTTAAATGATTTGCCCAGGTTCACACAGCTAGGAAGTGTCTGAGATCAGATTTGAACTCAGGAAGATGAGTCTTCCTGACTTGAGGCCCAGACTCTATCTACTATGCCGCCTAGCTACCAACCCCTTGGTTAGACAGTTCTGATAGTCTCATAATTTGTCATTCTATTTTCAATCTCCTGTCTCTAATCCATCCTTCACATGGATGCCAAAAAAAAAAAAAAATAATAATGCTTAGTTCTAACCAGCTCTTCCCCTGCTCAAAAACTTTTACTAGTTCCCTGTTGCCTCTAGGATAAAATACAAACTCCTTAATTTGGTATTCAATTCCTCTACAATCTTCAGCCTAGCTTTCCAGTCTTATTTCACATTACTGTCCTTCACAAATTCTATCTTCTAGTTAAACCGGACTGCTAGGTCTTCCTTCATTTTGCACTGTACTTTCTCACCTTTGAGTACTCATGTAGCCTATATCCCTATTCTTGGAATATACTCTCTCTTCATTTCTACCTATTGAAATTTTTTCCCTTTCTAAGGCCAGGCTCAGATAGAACTTTTACCATAAAGCATTCCCCAATTCCCTCAAGCAAAAATGATCTCTCTCCTCTCAGATCTCCAGAGGTCACTTTGTCTGGATCTTTCTTAGATTATCCTTGTTTTCATATTTGCCATTTATCCACTAATAGATTGTAAGTTATTTGGGGGATTTTTCAGTGTTTTATCCCCTGCACGTAACACTGTGACTTTCATAAAGTAGGTACAGAATATTTGTTGAAATGAATAGATAACATAAGCTTGAAAGTGCCTAGATGATGACAAACAGGATGCTGAAGGACCTTTAATCTATGTCTTATTTAGGGTTGTTGTGATGATCAAACAAGATAATATTTGTAAAAAAAACAAACAGCACATTGTCTGGCACATAGTAGGTGCTATATAAATGCTTATTTCTTTCCTTTTCCCCATGTTATATGAGGATCAGTGGAAGGAACTGGGAATCTTTAGCCTGAAGAAGAAAAGTCTTGGGGGTGGTGGGATATGAGAACTATCTATTTGAAAGGCTGTCTTATGGAAATAGTAATTAGAGTTATCTTGTTTGGTTCCAGGAGGAAGAACTAGGACCAATGGGTAAAAGTTGGAGAGAGGCAAATTTAGACACATGTCAGATCAAAATTCCTAACAATTAAAGCTATTCAGAATGAGAAGGGAATGTCTCACGATACTGTAGGTTCTCTCTTATTGGAAGTTTTCAAGGTTGGATGGCCAATCTTGGGCAGGTTATAGTTGGGGATTTCTTTTGGATTTGGATTGGACAGGATGGTCACTGAAATATTTTTCAACTAGTTCTTTGATTCAATTATGGCTCGTTAGAAAGGACACCGAACTTGGAGTGGTGAATTTGAAGTTTTGAGGCCTAGGGTCATATTCCAGCTCTGCTACTTGCTGCCTTTGTGACAATTAACCTTCCCAGGCTTCAAGGACCCTATTAAAAGATCAAGAAAACACACAATCCTTTCCCTCACCAAAACCCTCTCCCACCAATTTATCATATATGTTTAGAACATAAAATTATCTTCCTTGATTAATTGGAATATCAACCAATTAGCATTTTTTAGGTTAGGTACTGTACTAAGGGCTGGGAGCAATGAGTAAAGAAACAAGACACTGCCTGTCCTCAAGAAGCTTGCATTCTACTAGTGGCATACACCATGTTCATTAACAAGGAAATAAATATGAATACAAAGTGATTTTGAGGCTATAGATGATCTAGTGGGGGAGCCAGGAAAGGTCCTGAAGTAAAGCTGAGCCTTGAAGGGCTAAGATGATGATGGAGTGTTGTGTTTAGGCAACAGGAAGCAAGGCCAATTTGACTAGGGTGTAGAGTGAATGAGTGATATAATGTGTAGTAAGTGTGGAAAGATAGATTAGAGCCAGTTTTTGAAGGGCTTTACATGCCAAACATGGGAGTTTGTTTTTGAGCCTAGAGACAACAGGTTGTTTCTGGAACTTCTTTTGCCAAGGAGTAACGTGATCAGGTTTATGCTTGAGGAATATTACCTTGGCCTTAGTGTGGGGTATGGGTTGGAAAGGGGAGAGACTAAAGGCAGGAAGACCAATTAGGAGGCTACTTCTACAGTCTAGGCAAGAGGCAGTGAGATCCTGAATTAGGCTGGTTGTAGTGTGATTTAGAGAAGGGAAATGGGGAGAGAGATGTTGTGGTGGTAGAATCAACAAGATGGCACTTCTGACTGGATGAGTCTCAGGTTACAAACCTCAGTGACTGATATCCTCGACAGAAATAGGGAAATTAGGAAGAGGGGGTTTGGGAGAAAGATACTGACTTCTGTTTTGCGCGTGTTGAGTTTGAGGTATATGGATCATAGAGTTGGAAGTATCTAATACACCATTTATAATGTGGGACTACACAGTTCAAGAAAGGCACTAGGAATATATATATAGATTTGGGAGTCATCTGCACAGAGATGATAGTGGAATCCTTGGGAGTTTATGAGATGAGAGAGGGTGTGTGAAGAGAAAAGAGGGTCCGGGGCAGCTAGGTGGCGCAGTGGATAGAGCACCGGCCCTGGAGTCAGGAGGACCTGAGTTCAAATCCAGCCTCAGATCAAACACTTGACATTTACTAGCTGCGTGACCCTGGGCAAGTCACTTAACCCCAATTGCCTAAATAAATAAATACCAAAAAAAAGAGAGAGAGAAAAGAGGGTACATGATAAGAGTCTTGGAGTATATCCACACTTAGGAGGTGATAAATTAATTCCTTTGTACCTGTGAAGGGGATTGAGAAGCAGCAGTCAGGGACAGTCCAGATGTCTGACTGGATAGAGGCAGATCATCTAGCTTTCACGTTAGCAAGAACATAAAGTTTTCATCAGATTGAATAATAATTTTTTTTAAATCCAATGAGAAACTACAGTAAATGACTTCTACTCCATAATTGCCCAAGACCAGTCTGTATCCCTAGTGCTCAGCACAGTGTCTGGTAAATAGTAGGTGCTTAATAAATGTTTGACTGACTCACTGTTTACTTATATGCGTGTATCTTATTTCCCTCCTAGAAGATAAGCTACTTGAGGATAAGGCACTTTCTCATTTTGTCTTTGTATCTTTATTGTCTAGCACAATGCCAGGAACTAAGTGTCCGTGGTGATCACTTAATAAATGCTTGTAGATTAATTGATGAGAATACGGATTTCACAAGGGTACAGCAGAAGCACAGTTGAAGGGGAGGAAAGAGCCGACTAGTATGTGGAAATGCAGAGTGTTACCAGGAAAGGGATAAATCCTAAAAATTTAAATTGTATTTGTATTCATTTTTGTATTATATTTGAAACTGTTAAAAATGTACGGCTAAAAGTTAAGTTTAGCAATTCTAAGTATTGCTCCTATGCTAACAGGATCTACAAAGGAGAACTGATGAACTTGAGGAACTTTATTTGTTAGAGAAATGTTTTCCTGAAGCAGAGAAATGGAGAAAAGAGGTTAGAGTCCTTTCTAAAGTAAGTTTATATTTTTTTGTATCCTAATTATATTTATCTATTTTTTGTTACATTTTAAGTTTTGAATTTTCTTCCTCCCTCACCCTGCACTAGAGAAGGCCACCATTTGATACAGATTTATAAATATATATATGAAACCATACTATCCATACTTGTTTTTATCAGTTGTTTCTCTGGAGGTGGGTAACATCTTCCTTCATAGGTCCTTTATAGTTGATTTGAGTATTTGTAGTACTCTGTGTAACTTGATTGTTCACAATTATTCTTTGAACAATATTGCTGTTACCGTATAAAATGTTCTTTTGGTTCTGTTCACTTCACTTTTCATTATTTCATTCAAGTCTTTCCATGTTTTTCTAAGATCATTGATCCCATCATGTCTTATAGCACAGTAGTATTCCATCACAATCATATACAACAACTTGTTTATTTATTCCCCAATTGATGGGCATCCCCTCAATTTCCAGTTCTTTGCCACCACAAAGAGAGCTGCTATAAATATTTTAGAATATAGGTTCTTTTCCTTTTTCCTTGATCACCTTGAAAAACAGACCTAATAGTGGTATTACCGGATCAAAGGGTATAGGCAGTTAAATAACAATTTGAGCATAATTCTAGATTGCTCTCCAGAATGGTTGGATCAGTTCACAGTTCTACCAACATAAGTTTACTTTTATAAAACTCTTAAATTTTGTATCTATAATAATATTTGAAAGGCAAGTTTGTGCTAGGATTGGTGTTAAGGAGGCAATGTGGTACTATGGAAAGACTCAGAGGACCAATACGTAATTAACATCCTTCTCTTACTAATTTTGGCCTTGGGCAGGTTAGATTCTTTCAGACTTATTTGCTCATCTGTAAAATGGGGATAATACTTAGACTTCTGATTTTATGGATTGTCATGAAGAAACCCCTTTATAGGGATGTGACCTGATCTGTGATTTCAGTAGCATACAAAATTTCCAGGTGAAAAAATTCTCCAGATCATCGATGCAGATCATCGACCTTATGTGCACCTTAATTAATAGAATTTTCTGGAGAGCTGAGAGATTAAGTGACTTGTCTAAGGTTACACAGCCAGGATGTATCAGAGATAATACTTGGACTCAGGTCTTCCTGGCTTCCTGGCAAGCTCCCCGTCTACTCCATATAAATTCAAGTTATTATCATTATTATGTATGAGGACTCCAAGAGCTCCCTTCCCAAGCGACAGAAGGCGAGATCTGTTTGCTCAAGACATGGCTCAAATTCCTCTTCACTGCTTGCCTTTTTTTCAAGATTACCTCTCATTTACACTGAATCTCATGTATGCATAGTTGTATGCATTAGACTATGAACTCCTTGAGGGCAGGGGCCCTGTTTTTTTTTTTTTTTTTGCAGTGCCTGGCACATAGTAAGCACTTAATTTGTTGACTGCTTGACTGACAACCTACTTGGCCTTTAATGAATGTTTGATAATTTTTCTGGGAAGGCCAGGATTATACAAATTGAGTGATTTCATTGGGTCATAATAACAATCATCTCAAATTTATATAGTGATTTCCAGTTGACAGTCTTTCTTTACAACAACTTAATGAGATAGATAGTATAAACGTTGTTGTCTGTGTTTTACAGATTAGGAAAATGAGGCTTAGAGAAGTTAAATGACTTGTTTACACTCACAACATTAGTAAGTGGCAGAAGCAGGACTCAAAACCCAAGACTTTTGGCTACAGATTCAGTACGTTTTCCATGATACCATATTGTTCCCTTGAATTGGAAAAATGCAGGGAAGAGGAAAAAAAATCTAAAACTTGATTTTCATAAGAACAGTGACTATGAGTAAGGACAAGCTACTTGGAGGTGAAAAAAATAATCTAGGAAAACAGGTACATTAATGCATTGTTGATGGAGTTGTGAACTGGTCCAGTCATTCTAGAAAGTGATTTGAAATGATACCCAAAAAACTATTAAACTACACGCTATTGACTCTGCAATATCACTATTAGGTCTTTTCCACAAAGAGATCAATGAAAGAGGAAAAGGACCTATCTGTACAAAAATGTTTATAGCAGTTCTTTTTGTGGTGGCAAAGAGTTGGAAATTGAGGAAATGCCCATCAATTGCGGAATGGCTGAATAAGCCGTGGTACGTGATTGTGATGGAATACTATATAATGAATGATGAAAGGGATGCTTTTGGGGAAAATCTGTGAAGACTTGTATGAACTGATGCAAAGTGAAGTGATCAGAACCAGGAGAACAGTTTATACAATAATAGCAATATTGTGAAGATAAACAGCTTTGAAAGACTTATTAACTCTGATCAACACATTGATTAATCACAGTTCCAAAGGACTCTTGATGAAATGGGCAGCTAGGGGTGCAGTGGACAGAGTACCAGGCCTGGAGTTAGGAAAATGCAAGTTCAAATCCAGCCTCAGCACTTACTAGATGTGTGATCCTGGGCAAGTCACTTAACCTTGTTTGCCTCAGTTTCCTCATCTGTAAAATGAGCTGGAGAAGGAAATGGCAAACCACCAGTATCTCTGCCATGAAAACCCCAGAAAGGGGTCACAAAGAGTTTGACGTGACTGAAATGACTAAACAACAACATGACAAAATATACTATCCATGCCCTGGTAGAGAATGGGTGGACTGAAGAACACAAATCGAAGCATGTTTTCTGTTCTTTTTCTTTCTTTTCTTCCTTCCTTCTAGACATGCTAATGAGGAAATTAGTTTTGCATGACTACACATATTTATAATGGGTTTTGATTTTCTTGTCTTCTTAAATGGGTGGGGGGAGGCAGGAAGGAGAGATTTTGGAACTGAAAAATAAAATTGAATGTTAAAGAAAAAGAAGTAAAGCACTATAACTTGATGTATTAGATCAAGTACTGGACCTGGAGTTAGGAAGACCTGAGTTCAAGTCCCACCTCTGACACTTAGCTATATGCCCATGGACATATAACCCCTGATGTCGCCACCCTGGGGCTCACGAGTGTTCAGTGGCTGTTCCTCATTCACAGAACTTGTTCCCTCCTCTTGGCTTCCTTGATGTCCTTCAAGATATATCATATCTTGTTTGTACATGGTGTTGTCTCACCCATTAGACTGTGAGCTCCTTTGAAATTAGGGACTTTTTCCCCCTCTCTATTTCCAGCACTTGGCACAGTGCCTGGCAGTAGTAGTAGTCATTTAATAAATGCTTGTTGACTTGTACCTCAGTTTCCTTATTTGTAAAATGGGAATAATAAAATCTATAGTAACTTTCATAGGGTTGTTGTGAAGCTCAAATGAAATATTTTATAAAACCTTAAAGTGCTATATATCAATTATTATAAATCTAAATTCATTGACCCAAGAAGAAAGAATCCTAAAAAAAAAATTCATATAATCAAGAGAGACCTCTCAGAGAGGAGCTGGAGAGGTCACATTCCGTGGGGAGCTGTCCCACTTTGCAATCCAATAAATATGGGACCTCTTTTGGATATGTAGGATTCCATCAAGCATACTGCATAAGGGAGAGTTTTCCTGGTACTAGCTGGTTCAATCCAAATATCCAAATAGTTAAAGCTGGGTAAACAAGGCTATTCTTATTTAACAATGTTTATAGTATTTTAAGGTTCATAAGCACTTTACATACTTGATTTCAGTTGATCCTCACAATAATCTTGCCTTATTAAAACTTTGGTAGTTGTAGATTAAATGTGCATATTTTTGCATTGGCAAAAAACCAGAATTTTATAGAGCTCATCTTAAATTTTTTATTTTATATAGTGGTAGAGGTTTTATCAGTGGAGAGCTTGACTAGTTTTTCTTTTGCAGTGGGATCATTATATTGAGTGTTATGGAACTCCTGATCCTTCTGTAGCCCCAGAGATGAATACTTTCATTAGCTTATGGAAAGAAAAGAGAAATGAAGATATTAATGCTGTGATGAAAGAGAGTAAACTAGTGCTAAATGTAAGTATTAAAGTGTAATTCTCTAATTTAAAAATATTCAATCAAGAAATGGAATATAAAATTGCACATGTACATTGTTGTCCTTTAATCCCACCATATTAGATTAGTTAAGTATGGATGGGCACATTCTATAATCTCCTTGTGGGTTTTTTACAACTTTTGTGATCTTGCCAATGCAAATCAGTTCAACCATACTTAAATTCTGGTTAAGGGATAAAATAGATAATACAGACAAGCACACAATACTTCCATGTAGCTGAGTTATTTAATTTAAAAATCAAATTGACTTTCATTTGTCTAGATAACAGGAAACAGTATTTTTTTCCCCTAAACAAAATTATAATAGAAAATTGTTATTGTGTTAAGATTGGACCATTCTAAAGCATATCAGTTTCATCATAGTCCTGACAAGTGGTGTAGGTGCTTCCTTTTCTGATTCCAGCATTGACCTCATTGAAGATCTTTCTGGATGTTCTGGACGAAAGCAGAATATTGAGTACTGCTTTCTCTTTTCCAGAGAAAAAACCAAATGCCCTATCCTTTGCCTCAATGGGAAGGGGAATAACCCAAAAGCTTCCTATCTAGTTAGGTGCAACTGTTCTATTCATTTTACTATTCTAATGCAGTTCCAGAGAAGGCAGGCAGGGGTGGGGAGGAGTTCTACTTTGTATTCTCTCTTAGGCTAGTGTTACCATTCACCTGTGATCTCACAGAAATTCACCCACTGATCAGGAACGTATGCCCCTTCCATGTCCAAGCAGGTCATAATCCCGAACATTAGGTGGAGACATGGTAACTCCTAATCTTTTTAACTACTAGACAGCAACTGTATATTAGGCTTGTACTGTGTGTCAGGCATTGTGCTAGGCATTGGAGGAAGAAATACAACGAATAAAATAATCCATACTCTCAAGGACCTTATATTCTAATAGGGAAGACAATAAGTACATATATAAGTAGAGAAAGAGAATAACTATTAGGAATTTAGCTAGCCACTAACCTGTCCTATTCAGTGAGTGAGAAGGTAGAAAAGACCCACACTCATCCTGATGATTATACTTAGGTTCTGATTAGTGAGAATAATGAATCCTATAAAATGGTCACACATATTTGAAATAAAAATATTCAAAGTCATAATTAAAATATTGTTAAATATGGTATATGTAAAATATGGCAATTGGTTCCAACCCAATGAAAATATGCAGTATGAATTCAAACAATGAGACCACTTTACCGTTATCCTCACTAATCAGAACCTGACTATTATGCTTCACACTTCAGAGTGGGACGTGCCAAGCTCTCTATAGTTCTTAGAGAGTGGATGTGCCTTGTGTCCCTCAGCTTCTTTTTCTGGGTGGCCTGACCGACTCACCATTAGCCTGTGGAATGTGGTTACTGTGAATTTACGCAGTCAGAAATAGCTCTTGAACCCCCATCCTATTGACAAAACCCCACCTCTTTTCTGAACTTTCTGTTTGTCACTGAACCCTAAACATATGGCATAGGCATAATGGAATTATTTCTGTTAAACAGGAATAGAAAGAGCATCCTCCTCTCTATACAGTGCTTTACTCTTGGCATAGGAATAATAAAGTAACACATAATAAAACATATACCATATAACCATAAGCTTCTCTTAGATTTTAGACAGTCATGTTCTTCGGATCATACATACATACATATACACACACACATACATGCATACATTATATATACTTATACATACATACCACATATATGTGTGTGTGTATGAATGTGTGTATATATATGTACACACACATATATCTCACTCCACTGGTTGGTTTGTTTAGTCATCCACTCATCTGTAGCCCCTCAATCCATGAGCCGACAAGATAGTATCGATAATGCAGTTTAGTTCCCAAATGATGTTTGTTCATGCCATCATGAAGGACCAGTCATTAGGTGAAGACTCTCAGACTTTGGTCTCAAAACTTGGCTACTCTTCCTCGATACCTCGGGACCAAGTAAAGATTTTTTTTTGGCTAGGCAGTGGGGTTAAGTGACTTGCCCAAGGTCACATAGCTAGTAAGTGTTAAGTGTCTGAGGCCAGATTTGAACTCAGGTCCTCCTGACTCCAGAGCCGGTGCTCTATCCACTTTGCCACCTAGCTACCCCCCAAGTAAAAATTGAAGCTCTTATAGTCAGTACCTTTTGCATTGATTTTTCTGTCACTGATAGGTACCTTTGATTGCTTTTTGCCACAGAGAACAATGTAAAGAGAAACCCTTTTTGCTTTGCTCATCTTTTTGTCTCTGTCTTTCCTTCCTTGGATTCTGGCCTCGTCAGTTCAAGCTTCTGGTAGATGAGAGGTATGTCACGTTTCCTATCTGTCTCTCAAGTGTCAGACCATGTGTGACACACTTCTTACTTGCTGTACTATCTTGTCACTTCTGCTTGCTTACCTCCTCTCTCACTCCCCACCGTCACTGCTTCACTCAGTCAGAGGAGAGTAAAGACATTGAGAGGCATGTTAGATTTTTGTTTCCCCAAGTATACAAATTTCTTTCCAATTATCTCATGCACACGTCACTCTGAATGTTCCTGGGTATAGCTGGGAAGGGTTATCCAAATTACCTGGGGCTCCTGCCGTATTTAGGGTAATGGGGAATGCAAAGCACTAATGCCTTTCTAGCATAGTGGAATGGAGGAAAAATGCTAAAACAGTCTCCATTATGTATGAAAGGTTTTCATTCTAATAAAGTAGGCAGTGGAGCAAAATTCTACATATTTTCCATACATTTTCTCTTGAAAGCACCACATCTCTGGTTACTCTCTTTGTCATTGGATGATAATTTTTCCCCCTTCTGAAGTACATCTACTCCCCCACCTTGCCACACAAAACAAAAACTGGATCAGGTAGGCATTTCTCTTTTATTGTAACTACCAGCTCCAGAACTTCTTCTGCCATCACTAATACTTTCTGCTTGAGGTTCATCATTCCATCTATAACACCCTATCCATATCCTTTGTGTAATTATATACTGGCCTCAAGGTCACTTTTCATCTTTTCTCAAAAGAGTGAAGAACTGGCTCCCATGTAACCTTCTTCTCTACCTTGGTGCCTGTCCCCATACTCAGGGGACTTAATGTCTCCTCAAACGCGCTGTCCTCATCAACCTCCTAAAACTTTAAGATGAAATTTAGTTCATCAGTCTCCTAAACTTCCATGATCTTTATCTTTACTCCATGTTAGCTGCACATAGGAATGTTCATAATTTAGATCCCATTATATCTTTGTCCATGATCCTGGGCTCTGAAATTCACCTTTTCTGATCATAACCAGCTGGCATCTCTTTGATTCATTCCTCGTAACCCTCTCTGTAACTTCCCTATTCCTCTTGTCAGCACCGTCATCATCCTTCTGACCTTCCATGTGGCCTTTGCCTTTTGTCAGGAATAAAACAACAGTGGTGACCCCTAGGGGAACTGGGATAGGAAGATAATGGCAGCCACAGGAGGAGGAACAGGAAGAGAGTGGTAGCACCTGGAGAAGATAAGGGATTCCTAACTGCTGCAATGAATTTGTGGACCCTAGTTTGGGAATTTCACAAGATGGAAAACTGTTGGGGTTTTGAAGCTGATGGAATATGAATACCTTTACTCATTAATTTCAAGGAAAATATTTTACTTTTTCCACTGCCCAGCATATATTTTGTGAATATAGGAAGAATATGTTATTTCTCAATATAAAGTGTGAGATGTTTATTCCCTTCCACTTTCCCTTTTCCTCCTTTGTCAGGAGATTAATGTAGATATTCTTTTACATTCTAGCTAATTGAGAAACTGGAATTAATCTTATTGGATACTCCACCACATGAGTTGACAGATGAACAAGTAGCACAATACCAAGGATCAATCCTAGAACTGCGAGAACTTCTTCACTTTAAATTCAATGAAGCCACAGAAACTCTTCTTAAAGTAAGTGTGATACATTATTAGCTATGCTTAATTTTTTTTTTTTTTTTTTTTTTGCTTTTTGGTGAGGCAGTCAGGGTTAAGTGACTTGCCCAGGGTCACACAGTTAGTGTCACGTGTCTGAGGTCGGTTTTGAACTCAAGTCCTCCTGACTCCAAGGTCAGAGCTCTATCCACTGCGCCATATGCTTAATTCTTTTTGAACTGAAATAAATGTACTATTGGAAATTTACACTGTGCAATAAAGAAATCCAATTCTTTCATACATAGTCTAAGTCTCATTACATGTACAGTATTGGCTAGAATTGACAAAATTATATAAAATAATATGTGATATAAACTTGGTTAAAAAAAAACAACAGTTGCTACAGGAATGCAATGCATTTATTTTCCCATATTATAATTCAATATTAATATATCAAACGAGGCACCTTTTTCTTTTTCACATGGGGGCCCCCAGAATAGCTACTCTAGGTTTAAGATCCTCTGTGAGGGAAATCCCCTCAAAACAGTCCTTCATGAACCCCTCACTGATGCATTGGCTTTTTTCTAATCAGCCAGAGAATTCAATTAGTTAAAAGCAAAAGCTTTTAATGAAGTAGTATCGGCATAGTATAGTATAGAATATTATATAGAATTATATCGAATAGTATAGGAATAGTATAGATTTGTACCAGGACATTCTCCATATAAACCTAGGGAATGCTTTCCCAGAAATATACACACCAGCAATAAGGGTTCATACAAAAGGACTATGTGTGGAGCGGTAACTCACACCTCAAATGTCTGCAGCACCCCTGATGTCTTCCGGTGATGTCATTAGGCTACTCTGACTATGCCTCCTTCTTGTTGGTCACATCATGTCTCTTGGTCCTGGATGATTTCCTCTGCTAGTCTCTGCTGGCCTTGGCACCTAGTTTCCTCTGGAAGGTTTCTCTGCTATTATCAGCATCTCTTTTAGGCACTGCTCCCTCACACTATCTTCTGGGCTCATCTCTTTAGGGCCAGCCAAATCATAGTAGGCTTCCAGCAGTCTGCTATGGTAAAGTGGCTAGAACCTCTCCTGGTAAGGGAATCATGAAAGCTCTTTAATCATAGCCACCATACTTGCTGGAACTGTGTCAAGAAGTTCCTTGAGACATCTGCACTATTCTCTACACCTTGATTCCAAACCCAGCCTTGCATCTCTTCAGTTTTTGTAAAATATGTGGAAAGTTCAAGAGGACGATCAAAGAAAAGATTGGGGTGCTAATTGATGTATATGGGATCACGATAGCTGTTAATAAAGGGAAGCTAGAAATATTCAAATCCCCTTTTGCTTCTCTTTCTTTGCTGAGGAGCATAGTTTTTGGACTACAAAAGAATGAACAACAATGACTTTCCAAGTTGATAATGAATAATTAATAACTTCTTTTTTGGGTCCAACTGTTTCACCGATTCTGAATGTGTCTAATTATATTATCATTTAGCCTTCAGCTCTCCATCGTTTTCCCCCCACAAGTACGCATGACATAATTAAGCGTGTTGCTAAACTCTAGGTAAACTGTATCTACAATATTAGAGGGAATGTTAAAAAAGGAATGAGGTTGACCTAGAATGATTTGTTCCTGCTAAAGCCATGATAACTCTTTGTGACCTCCTCTTTCTTTTCAAGATACTCACTAACCAGCTTTTTAATAATGGCCTATCATTTTTCTGGGCATTAAAGTCCAGTTTACTGAATTACTGTTTGCAGATTCTGTTCTCTTCTCTTTAAAAAAAAAAATCGGAATGAGATCTGCTCTTCTCCAGTCCTGTGATTGCACTCCTGTTCTCACTATGGCTTAGCAGTCACATCTGCCACTTGTTTAAATAACTGAAGAAATAACTTATATGGACCAGATGACTTGAATTCCTCAAGGGAATTAGGTGCTGTCTCACTCTCCCTTACTTTAACTTGAGAATTCACCTTCATATTAGGTATTTCGGATCTGTTTTTTTCTGTCCAAATCAATTCTCCTAGACAGATTTAACAGAAACAAGGTAACAATAGAATAACTGGACCTTCTCTCTTTTGGCAATTAGCAGCGCTATCTCTTCTTTTATCTTCTTCTTTCCCCCCCAAATAACTTTTAAAAACCACACCCTATTTTGTTGTCCTTATCTTTTTTCATTAGCATCAGCTCATTCTGAGCTTCAGTGGTCTTGACACTATTCTTAGAGAAGCATGCCACACTTCTGTATTCATCCTTTGGCGCTTGCCTTTGCTTCCATCATAATAAGTAAATAAGCAAGTGAATGAATGAATACATAAATAGGTTGACACATCTAAATGCATGTACATATACATGCATATGTATTTATACATATATATTTTTAAAAATCTAAATTGACTGCTGTTTTCCCTTCATATCAGAATTATTTCCCATCGGTGGTTTGTCTGAAAATGATATGAGAGCTTCAGTGCCCTGCAATCTCAGTATGAGTTAACAATGTGATGTGGCAGGTCAGCCAGATCTTTAAGTTGCATTAAAGGAGACATAGTGCCTGAATCAGGGCAGCTAGGTGGTGCAGTGGATAGAGCACTGGGCCTGGAGTCAGGAAGATTCATCTTCTTGAGTTCTGATCTGGCCTCAGATAGTTCCTAGCTGTATGACCCTGGGCAAGTCACTTAACCCTCTTTGCCTCAGTTTCCTGACCTGTCATATGAACTCAAGAGGGAAATGGCAAACCACTCCAGTATCTTTGCAAAGAAAACTCCAAATGGGGTCATGAAGAGTTGGAGAAGGTTGAACAACAACAAAGTATTTAAATTGAGGGAAATAGTACTACTGTACTTAGCCATGGTCAGACAACATTTGGAGGGGTTTTTTTTCAGTTTGGGGGATCATATTTTAGGTGGGACAGAAATAATCTGGAGAGTGATCAGAGGAGGGATGACAAAGGGCTATGCTCTATAAGGATCACTGGAAGAACATGAGGATATTTGCCCTAGAGAGCAGAAGACTTAGGACATTTCCATTGTCCTCAGGAATTTTGGGAGTAATCATGTTTTGCTTGATATCAGAGGAAAGGACTTGGTACAGTGGATGCAATCACTGAGAAACTTAATGTAAGGAAACATTTCCTAAAAGTTAGAGCTATTGAGGAATGGTATGTGCTGTTTTGAGAGAGAGTAGACTCTCACCCAGAATCCTCCAGCAAAAGCTGGACCGTGTGTTTGAAGGGGCTGTTGATTGTAGTACAATTCTTTATCAGGGATGGGTTGGACTAGGTGGTTTTGAAAGTCTACTTCGTCTCTGAGAACTTGTGATTCTATGGCTTGACCTTATAATCAGGAAAGCCTTTAAGTTCTATGTTAACTGGATTTTTGGTGTCTTCAGGCATAGGCAAGCACAAGTTTCCAGGGCATGGTCTTTATTTGAGAAAGCACAGTGCCTGGCACATAGTAGTGAGTTCTTAGTAAATGCTTATTGATGACTTGAAAAGGAGTTATAGTTTCATTGTAAAAGAATGGGAATAGGTTCCATAATTAAGAGTTGACATCTGGGAATTTAAGGAACAATTTCATTTTCAAATTACTCAGAAAATTTAATTGATAAAAGAAAAATGTTCTTTTAAATAAAGAAGCTGACTAAGCCTATATTCATTCGTCTGTTCGGCAGACATTTATTTTTCACCTGTGGTGTACAGAAAACTGCCAGGCATTTGAGGTAGTAAAAATTTTTTTTGCAGCTTGCAACCTCTTGAAAGCTACCCCAGGTTGAAAACCCATTTAGGGTCAGTTATAATTCACAAGTCCCCACTAATGTTCCTTTACCAGATCAGTCAGAAGAGATATTAGTTCAAAGTAAACAGCTTTTAATTAAACAGAATAGCAAAATAAATGACAACAAATTCTTGCCATACTCACAGGGCTTTATCCTTTTGCAGATTACCATGCCATCAGTGGTAGAGGGAACATATGTAGGGGATGTGCATGTTGAGGGCTCAGGTGCTAGGATAACTCATGGCCTAAGAATATGCATAGCCAAGGCAACTCATGTTTCTGGGATGGTATTCCTGCTTAATCATCTTTGTCCTCAGGACCACCGTTTGCCTCATATTCCTGGCCGTCAGTCTTGGAGCTGACATCAGCTGCTCTGTTAGTATCCTTAAACTATAGGCTTGATCTGTAAGCCTTTGTCATGTTATCTTTTCTAGGCTACTCTTTTCAAGTTCTTCAGTGTCATCTGTTGGACTTAAAATTGAATTCCAATTGCTTATGTGATCTCTATTCCTCAAGGAGGAAACTTGCCTCCTTTCTCCATAGCATCAGGCAATTTTTAGCTCTTTTTTTGAGTTTAGGTCTCTAGATTCACCCAGCCTATCAACAGAAGCTAATAGAAACTTGCATTTAGATTTATTCTGTCTTTTGAATTCCTCTTCTTTGCTTCTACTTCAACTGCTATTCCTTGACCCCATTATACTCTTGAAAAATGTACCTTTCAGTTTTTTTTCAGTCTCCTTCATGCCCCTTGTGGTCCAGGCAAATTATTTTTGGACTGCAAATATCTAAGACTGAAAGACTAAAATGAACTGGATGGGACTACTAATCTTTTTTCTTACATCCATGTTAGCTACAGAATTGTTGACCTTCTTGCAATTTATACTACACAGCATTTGCCCTCAAGGAGCTTATAGTCCAGAGGACATATTCTTTGGATTTTTCTTTTCTTTCCATCTGTTTCATCTTTATTAAACCTTTCTTATTCTAAGGCAGCATAGTCCTGTTGAGAAAACCCTGGCTCTGGAGTCAGAGGATCTGGGTTCATAGCTCATTTCTGGGACTTACTACCTGGGGCAAGCCCCTTTGGACCTTGGTTTCCTCGTATCAAAAATGTAGGAGTTGAATTAGATGAACTTTGAGGTTCGTTATAGCTCTGTTGCTGTGATCCTATTGTCACTACCAATATGATTAAATAGTAATAATTTTGATTGGGATGTTTGTTTCCTACTCAATAAACTCCAGTGGTTCCCTAGCATCTCTAGGGTAAAACATAACTGCTATATTTGTTATTGAAAGCTCTTCATAACTTGGCTCCAACTTACTTTCTCAGCATTATTACACATTATTCCTCTCCACACACTCTAGAGTCTTGCCATCCTGGCCTTCATACTGTTCGTCAAGGCTTAGCTCAAGTACTGTCTTTTATATGAAACCTTTCCTATTCCTCCCAGCAGGTAGAGTATTCTTCTTCAAAATTGATTTGTATTTATTTTTGTATATAGATGCACATGTTGTCTTCCCCCAATAGAATGTAAGCTCCTTGAAGGCAAGGGACTGTTTTACTTTTCCCTTTGTATCCCTAGCACCTAGTACAGTGCCTGCTGCATGGTATGTGCTTAATAAATGCCTTTTGATTGATTCATTGAATGTTGGACAATAACGAGATGCCTAGGTTTTTAAATTATATTTTTTGTTGTTGTTGATTTCCAGGAAGCCAGTTCTTTAGGAGATACTGACAGTGGAAATATGGAGACGATCATTAAAGATGAAAACATCACTTTGTATATTTGGGCAAACCTCAAGAAGAATCCAAAGTAACTCTATAATTTTTTTCTTTTAGGAAAAACATGAGTAGCCAAACTGTCTTAACCAAGTTAAAGGGGATTTCTCTTATAAATAGAAGAAATGTTTCCTATATTTCCTAATTACAAAAATTTGAGGATTGCAGTTGACTCAAACCAAATCCCCTAAAACTTGACTCATAATGAGTGAACAGATAAAAACAGCATCTGCCCTCATGAGACTTGTAGTCTCGTAGACAATATTATTTAGTTTTTTTCTTGCCATTTCAGTTTCATGTGAGTTGAATTAAACTTGCCTCAAATTTACAGCAAGATCACTGAGTCAACAATGTGACACGGCAGCCAAAAAGAGGAATGCAGTCTTAGGATTCAAAGAGCTTCCTGAGACTTGTCAAGCCTGGCAACCACTATTCATGTGTGAAAACAAACAATGCTGCTGGAACAAACCCAGAATAGAAGGCATTTTCATGGATTATGAGGTCCTCAGCAGTAAATTGAAGGAATTGGGGGCACAGATGTCATTTTCATTAATGCTGCCGTTTGAAGGTTAGCTACATTATAAGAGAAAGAAGGATGTAGAAGGAGAACAAACAGCTGGCTATAAAGATGGCATTGAAAAGTGGAGTTTGGGGGACAGCTAGGTGGTACAGTGGGTAGAGCACTGGCCTTGGAGTCAGGAGGATCTGAGTTCAAGTGCGGCCTCAGACACTTGACACTTACTAGCTGTGTGACCCTGGGCAAGTCACTTAACCCCATTGCCTAGCCAAAAAACAACAACAACAAAAAAAAAGACTCGTCTGTGAAGGCGTGAAGGGAACTTACTAGCTGTGTGACCCTAGGCAAGTCACTTAACCCTGATTGCCTCACCAAAAAACAAAACAAAACAACCCCCCCCCCAAAAAAAAGAAAAAATGGGATTTGGATTTCAGGACAATGTCTTACAATAAAGGGACATAGCTTTAGGCTGGGAATAGAATGCATTCAATTAGGACTAAGAAAAATAAATTTGCTTAAAGACTTGGTGGTCTGATCTGGAAGGCATTAAACTGAAGGAAAAAAAGAGAGAAATTTGCCAAGTCATAAACTGAAGGAAGCAACAGGGGCAGCTAGGTGGCGCAGTGTATAGAGCTGCAGCCTTGGAGTCAGGAGGACCTGAGTTCAAATGTGGCCTCAGACACTTGACACTTAACTAGCTGTATGACCCTGGGCAAGTTACTTAACCCCGATTGCCTAACCCCCCCCCCCCAAAAAAAAAGAAATGAAGGAAGCAACAATGATGGCACAGGAAAAATATCAGTGAAAATAATTTGTAGGAGAAAATAAATCTGATGGTGTGGGTCACATGACTCGAATGTGGCAATGAAAAGGGTTATTTATAAAGGGACATTTTAAATATTTAAACATATGTATGCATATGTTCATGTATTTAAAAAAAAACTACTCTGAGGCATGATAGGGACATGTTGTTAAGATATACCGTGCCTGGTTCTGAGTGAGATATTGGGGTGAGTCTCTCTTGATATCCTTATATTTCTTGTTCCAGCCTTTTAATTATCTCTCCAAATTATTCTTCCCTAGGTCTCATTTCTTTTCTATTTTTTCCTCTACTGCTTTCATTTTTTAAAAATCCTTTCTATTTCTTACAAAATATTCTTGCTTCATCTCTCAGAGAAAGAGAGAAGGTGGTATGAGGTTTAGACCATTGTACCTGGAGTCAGTGGGTTCAAGACCTGGGTTCAAATTTAGCTGTAGATATCTACTATCTGTGTGACCCTGGGCACCAGCCAAGTGGTTAAGAGGCAGTTAGTTGGTGCAGTAGATATAGTGCTGCGCCTGCAGTCAGGAACACCTGAGTTCAAATCTGGCCTCACACCCTTAACTAGATGAGTGACCTGAAACAAGTTATCTAACCTCTGTTTGCCTCAATTTCCTCATCTATAAAAAGGGGATTATATTAGCACCTACCTTCCAGGGTTGTTGTGAGGATAAAATGAGATAATAAATGTAAAGTGATTTGTAAACCTTAAAGTATTGTTTATTATTATCATCATTAGTTATTAGTTGCATGATAACTATATTCCCAGAAACTAATTTTCATTAAAATTTATTATTAACAGGTATAAAAAGATAAAATTTGGTGACACGCAAGTTGGATTTGAGATTCCAAAGGCACTAGCAACAAGTGATATTGCTTTCCGTATCTTTCATACTAATTATGATCACTTTTCTCCACTACCTGTGATTCAAAGACCAGAAAAACCAACAACTATTGAAACCATTATTGAAGATTCTGCAGAAAAAGAAACTCCTAAGGAGGAAGCGGTTCCTGAGGCAGGTGCAGAGGAGGCAACTGAAAATCGGGAGTTAGTGACTTCTTCAGTTACTACAACAGAAATAAGAACTGAGGAGGCCTCTGTTAATTTCACAAAGGTAGGAAGGTCTCAGAAAATGGGAGCCCCTTGTCAGGCCACTGGTGTCACGGACATCTTACAAAATTCTCATGATTCCTCCTATGATACTTTAAAGAGAGTCTGAATGAAGAGTTTTTTCTGCCAACTTAGTTCCTTTCCTTTATCTCATTTTGCTCTTCCCCTTGTAATTGATATTCATGATCCATATGTACCATTTTATACAATGAGTTTGCTCTTGAAACTGTGTATAAACTGATTTTTATATGTTGTATTGTAGCTTTAAATGCATTAAGGGAGAAGGTTTTTAGTGTCATCAGGCTCCTCTCATGTGGCAGAGCGCCGGATGCTGGTTCTATTCTAGCTGAGATTTACTAGGCAGGGGATCCACTGCTGATACAAAAACAGATTGAAATCTCCTGGGTTAGATGACAAGAGGAAGTTGTCCCCCAGGAGTTCAAAGATGTCTCCATTGTCAAGGAAAAGGAAATAGGTTGTCCTGTGGCAATCATGGGGAGAGGGAGTTTGTGGGAGGTCTCTCTTTTAGAAATTGTTGGCAAGAGTCCTCTTTAATAGGCTGATCCTTCACCTGGAAGATGGTCATCTACTTGAGAGCCAGTACTGGCCACATGGCTTCAAAAAGGGCCAAGAAGCAGTTGATATGGTATTTGCTGCCCAGCAACTCCAGGAGAAATGCCAGGGGCAGAACAGAGGTCTGTACACAACATGTGTTGATCTGACCAAGGCCTTTGATACCGTCATTTGTAAGGGTTTGTAGAAGATTGTGGCAAAATTTGGTTGCCAGGAGTTCATCAGCATTGTATGCCAGCTTTACGATGGCATGCTTGCCCAGGCTCGGGATAATGGACGATGCTCTCATGCTTTCCCAGGCACCAATGGAAGTGAAACAGGGCTATGTACCTACTTCCATGCTTTTTAGCATGATGTTTTCATCAATGTTGTCACATGCCTTCAATGGGGACGAAAATAGCATCAAGGTCAGCTACCACACTAATGGTAAAATCATTTAACTTGGAAAGGCTACAAGCTAAGAATAAAGTGGAGGGAGAGTTGGTGCGAGGATTTTTGTTCATAGATAATTGTGTACTCAGTGCAGCCTCTGAGGCTGAGGTACAACAAAGTATGAATTGACTCTTGTGCTACTTTTGGCCTGACAAAAGTTCTCTACCACCAAGTACTGCACTGTCCACATGTGGAATCATCAGTTATGCCAAATGGAGAAATTTGAATGCTGTGGATAAGTTCACTTACCTTGGCGGTGTACTTTCCAGGGATGTACACATAGGTGATGAGATTCACACACACACACACACACACACACACACACACACACACTCAACTGCCAGAGCTACCTCTGTTTGGGAGGCTCTGAAGGAAAGCGTGGGAGAGAAGAGACTGCCTATCAGACTGAAGGTCTACAGAGCCGTTGTGCTGACTTCATTGTTGTATGCCAAAAAAACTTGGATGTTCTACCAGCTTCATGCCAGTACACTGAATTGCTTTCATTTGAATTGTCTTAGGAAGATTCTGAAGATTACCTGGCAAGACAAGGTAGTAGATACTGCAGTCTTTTCTCAAGCTGAACTGCCAGGCATTCAAACTCTGCTGCAGAGAGCTCAGCTCTGATGGGCTGACCACATTGTTCAAATGCCAAACTTATATTTGCCTAAAAGACTATTTTATGGGGAGCTCATGCAAGGCAAGTGCTCACACAGAGGTCAGAAGAAGTGATGCATATTTCTACAATTACTTAAGACTCCCTTTATTTCTTGAAAGAATGTTTTGTAGTTGTATTCGTATAGTTCCCGTATGTCTCGTTAGGTAGACTCCCAAATACTTTATACATTCTAGTTATTTTGAATGGAATATCTCTTACTGTCGCTTCCTATTAGTTTTTGTTCGTAAAATAAAGAAACAATAATGATTTTTAAAAGGTAATATATGTTTCAGTAAATTCCTTACTTGATTTTTGGGAGTTTTCTAGCTAGAATATCGTTATCATATGCAAAAGTGATAGTTTTGTTTTCTCTTTGCCTTATGCTGTTTCACCTATTTCTTTTTCTTGTCATGTTTCTGTAGCTAGTATTTCAAGTGCTATTTCCAACAATAGTGGTGATAATTAATATCTTTCTTCACATGATCTTATTGGAAAGGCCTCTGCACTTTTTCTATTACATACAATCCCGGCTGTTGGTTTTAGGTTGATACTTGTTTACTACATTAAGGACAGGTCGACTTATTCCTTTGCTTTCTATTGCTTTGAATAGACATGAAAGTTAGACTTTGTGAAAAACTTTTCAGCATTTCTTGATACAGTCATGTTTTAATTATTTTTTTTACAAAGATATTTTGTTATATTTATAGTTTTCCTAATCAAGCCCTGTATTCAGTGGTATTGTGCAACCTGATCATAATGTAAAATCTTTTGAATATGTTGTTGTAGCCTCTTTGCTAATGTTTTATTTAATATTTTGTACCAATATTCATTCAGAATTGATCTATAACATTCTTTATCTGTTTTGTATTTGCTGGGTTTAGATATCAAGACCCCGTTTGTCTCAAAAAAAAAGTTTTGAAGAATCCTTACTTTTTCTATTTTTCGCAAGCAATTTATATGCTATTGGAACTATTCTTTGTATTTTGGTAGAATTCACAATCTTGTTTTTCCACACCCTCCCCCCTTTGGAGACTCATTTATGGCTTGTAAATTTTTTTCTGATTATTTTAATAATAATCAGTTTATCTGGGTATTCTAACATAGTGATGTCATTTTGGTCCCTTCAAGAACAAAGGACAATAACCAGCCAGTCTGGGGATATTATAATCTTGTACATATTTGTCCATTTTATCTCAGTGATCAGTTTTATTGCATATAATTGGGCAAAATAATTTCTGACAGTTTCTTTTATATTATTTCAGTTGTTGTGAATTCTCATTTTTCTTTTTTATACAGTTTGGTTTTCCTCTTAGACTAGCTCAGACTAGTTTTTTTCTTTTATTTTTTCAAAAAATTGCTAATTTTATTAATCAAATATTTTTCTTTTCATTTTGTTAATCTCTCCTTTTATTTTCAGAATTTTTAATTTGGAGTTTAGTTGTTTTAATTTATTGCTTTTCTAGTTTTTTTTAGTTACATGTCCCATTCATTGAGCAAAAGAGGTGACATATACATAGAACTCTGCAAATCTTATATCTATTTTTCTTTTGATTGATAAAAGTTTTTAGAGATATAAAATTTTCTCCTCAGCTGCCATGCCATGTTTTAATATGTTGTCCAATTGCTGACATTTTCATTTATGAGATTTTTTACTTTTTTGACCTTTCATCATTGCCTAGATTTCCCCTCCATAGCTCATACTTTCTGTGGTGCCAGAAAATCATGTATTGTAGCAAAGGATTTTTCAAATTAAAAAAAAAAAGGAAATGAAAAAGAAGAAGAAGAAATGAAAAAAACAAAACAAAACTGACTTTGTATGCAGTGTTCTGCATGTGTGGACTCCAACCTCTGCCCTGGAAGAGAAAAGAGGGGGCACCTTCTCATAACTCTTCTTTGTGACAAAGATTGTTGTTTATAATTTTGCAGCATTCAGTCTTGATTGTTTTCTGGTGATTTTTTTTTTCTGTTTACATTGTTATAGTCATTGTGCTTACTGTTTTCCTTGCTGTGCTTACTTAACATTGCATACATGTAAGTCCTTCATGTTTCTTTGCTTTCATCGTGCTTGTTCTTTTGATGCACTAATATTTATTTATATCCACGTACCACAATTTGGTTAGCCATTCCCCATTTGATGGACATCTACTTGTTTATAATTCTTTGATACCACAGAAAATGCTGCTATGAATATCTTGTATATGGTTCCTTTCTTTTTCTCAATGACCTTCTTGAGGTATATGTCTAGCAGTGGAATCTCTGGAAATATTGATACACTAATGGTTCTTGTTGGGCTTATTCCAATTTAAATTTTTCTTTGATTCTTTGCTTGTAGATGTTTCAAGTCATTGTCTTCTGAGTTTGTATTTTGAGCTTCCCTGTCTCCATAGAAATTTTTTATGCTCAAGGTTTTTTTTTTTTTTGCTATTTGCTCATTTTTCCAGCTTATTTCTTGTCTTTGGACCATGATAGTTGGGCTCTGCTCACTATCTTTTCTCAAACTGAACTGCCAAGCATTCAAACTCTGCTACAGAGAGTACAACCCTGATGGGTCGACCACATTGTTCAAATGCCAAATTTACATTTGCCTAAAAGACTATTTTATGGGGAGCTCATAGGGGGTGGGCATGGGGGATAGGCATGAGGGGCGGGGATGGCTAGGCTGATCTTCTGTTGCCTGTAGGTTTTTGGTGCCTGCCAAGGTGGTGTGATCCAGGGAGAGTTCTGGTTACTATTCTCCTGGCCTGGGCTCTGCTCCTTACCCAGGTAAGGCCTCTGTTCCTTCTTTACCACATACCTTAATTACACCTCTCCACCCTGAAACTGACCAAGAATTGGCTAAGAGGTGAACGAGCTGCCAAATGGCACCTGCCCACCTGACCCTATGCTCAGTGCTAGTACAGTGGTCCTCTGCAATATTTTTCTGAGCAGGGTTCCTGCTCAGGGTTCCTTGCTGTTCCTGGTGCTGCTGCTGCTACAACAACAGGTACTGCCTCTTCTAGGTCCCATAGCTTGTGATACTTCTTCCACCTGATCTCAGGATTACCCCTCTCTTTTGGTCCTCATAAGTTTTCCCAGGCTTGAAAAATGAGATAATGACTTTAAAAAAAATTTTTTTTTGTCACACCACTCAGAATTTGATATGAGGCATTTTAAAAAAGTTATTTAAAGGGTTGTGTTGGGAGAGAGCTCAACCAAAATGTCCAATCTCCTGACCAGCGTGGCTCCACCCCCTTGATATTGATTTTTTTTATCTATGGTATCTTTAAACAAAATCTGATTTCCTTGTTTAAGTCTTTTAATGATATCTGTTTTTACTATCTCCTTTCTTGAAACTTGATTTCTGT